TAAAAGGTAAAAACCTCTTCAATAAATATTTTAGCTTTTTCACTAAAGTGAGGCATAAGATTTTTAGCATATTTGAATTAGGGAAAAATTAGAAGCTAAAAATTTTTATTTTGCTGTATTATAACAAGGATCAAGAGAGTAAAATTACATAAAGATTAAATTATTAATGTTATTTAAATTATGAATTGTAATCAGTTTTCATATTATAGTAGAACATTAAAATTTTTTATTATTCTTTTTATTGCAAAAAATATTGTTCAGATATTTACCTATTTTTGGAAACCTTAAATAAATAAACCTCTGCATAGAAAAACAAATTTTAATTTACACTTCATTACGCTCACTCAATTATTTGCAATTTTTTTATTAAAAATTAGAAAACCATTTTCAAGAGAAGGATTCATTTTAAAAGGAATTCAAATGCAAGAGCAATATTAGGAAAGTATCAAATCTAGAATGCCAGTCTATAAAAAATAAAAAAATTTTTAGAATCTAAAGAGATATTCTAAAAATATAACCTAAAGTAATCTTATTGACCAAAATTAGAATGGCTCAGCTCTATTCTTCATTTTTGAATTACAATTTATATATTTTCTAAATTTTTCCTTTCTAAAATAAAAATAATATTGTTAACTTAAATTATAATATTGAGTACCACCAATTTAGATAGATATAATTTTTATAACCTTCTGAATCTCCATTCCCAACAGACATAAAATGCGGATATATTTTTTAATTTTAGTGATGTTAACAAATAAATAAAATAATAAAATATCAAATACTTATATGTTATTTTTCAAGATTGCTTTAGATGCTTTGCCATCTTAATTAACACCATTGTATTCCCAAATTATGTTTCACTAAATTTTTATTTCTTTTTTTCCATTAAACTCTCATAATTAGAACAAAATTAAAGAAAGGAGTAGACTGTTGTTAATAAATTATTATATTGAAGAAAAGTTTAGCTTTATTAATTCTTTTTTGCTTAATTTCCTTTACTAAATAGAATTGTTAAAAATAATAAATTACAAGAATATACTTAACAAATAACTTGAATCATTGATGTCATTAAGAAAAATTAATGGGTTTGTAAATGGGAATTAATGGTTATTTGTTTAACGATAATCCAAAGAAAATTAGGTCAGATGAAATAGATTGAATCAGATGTAATATTAGTTTATAGATTTCAATATTTCTAATGTAAAAAAAATTGAATCTAATATCATTTGATTTGAGAAAATGACTTTGTTTTCTACGATTATTTCAGATACATGAAATTTTTTTTTATGCCAGCATAAATTTTAGAAAAAAACCAAATTTATGAAAGCAAAAAGCAAATCGCATATAAATTATAAAATTTTCAAATTAATTTATTGAAGAATTTAAGTAATAAATGTAAAAAATAAACCTACTTCTTTTTATTAAAGGAATTAGAAAATCGAAAGAGTGAAAAATATTTTTTCTCATTCGTTAAATATTCAAAAAATTTAACATAAATAAGGGTATTAAAAATAAAATTGATGTTAAATAATACCATGTAATTATTTTTGAATGTATATTGTTTTATTTTCAATTATCATAATGCATTTTTCTT